GCTTCCCAGAGCTGCCGAGAGCCAGGAGTCGCAGGCGGCAAGGAATCGAGCCCAAGCATCTGAAGCATCTGTCATGTACTGATAACTCATTTCTGGACTTTCCCCCAAGAGTAACTATCTGAGAAATCCGATCCCAGAACATCTCAGATGCAGAGTCAGGCTTCGCACAAAGGCTCCTGGCTGCAGTTTATTTATTCCTGATTATTTATGATCCGTTTTTCTTCCATCCCACTCATTCTAATACAGAAACCGGTCTGGGAGCCCCACGCCAGGGAGCCGGGGGCTGATGTATTTGTGAAGTGCCTACCAGGAAGGAGCTTAATGCTGCAAGAGGTTGGAAGAGCAGAAATAACCCTCCTTAGCAATTGAATGTATTTTTACCCTCACTGTGCCGGAGAAGGGAGACAATTCCTGCCTCAGAGATTTCCGAGCACTTTGAAACGCCGGAGGCTGAGCTAAATCTGTTGCTGGTGCAACCCAGAGTCTTCAGCGGGCCTGCCACCAGGACGGATTTGCCTCAGCATCTTGAGAGCCACCAAGGCGCAGGGGCAGTTCCCACCACACTGAGCAACTCCGAGCACTGACATCCCGGCTTGTCCCTGCGGGAAGCTTCCCCCAGGGGAGCGCGGGTGCCGAGGATGGCACGTGGCGAGCACCAGAGCTTCGTGCCAGCTGCAGGCAGCCACAGCCAGGATGCCCCCCTCCTGCCGACCCCACTGCCACCAAGGTCCTTTGGGGTGAAGTGGACGCAGGGACACAGCCCCGCATGCCAGGCTGGGGCACGATTGTGTCGCCACCTCCACCCCGTGGGACGAGCTGGTTCCTTACCCGGGGCATTAGCGGTCCTTCTCCGGGCTGTTGCAAAACTTTGCACAGGTCCTGCACACAGCAGCGTCGTGTTCTGGTTCTATCTGCACAAGAATGTTCCCCGAAAGTGCATTTTAGATTTAAATATGCTATTTAGAGCAAAGGTGGGCTTATATTTTTACAGCCTTAAAGTTTACACTTTCTGTCTGTCAAATGTCTTACAGATTGAATTCCAGGCGTATTTTACCTATATCAATGAAGTTTGTCTTATATTTTAGGCTGTGGAATTTTAAATCCCGTAGCCTTCATTTCTAAATATCCTGATGTTTTGTGGTGTGTTTGTTTTTTTTGTTTTTTTTTTAAAGTACTATTTAATGTCATTTGCCGCTGGTCTGAGAGAACAATGAAACAATGGTGCCTGCAAACCGCAGCTCAGCCGTTCCGAGCGTCCTGCATTCCCATTCCGTGCGCTGCAACCGGGCGGGTGCCCCCGGGCGCACCCAGGGCCCCGAGGCGCGGTGCGGGGCTGGCTCCGGGTGCGGGCTCGGGCTGCCCGTGCCGCCGCTCGCTCGGCACCAGCGCTGCCCCTTGCCCCGCGGCCGGTCCTCGCCCTTCCCCTTCTCTCCCCACGGAGCCCCCCGGAGCCCCCCCGATCCCCGCGGAGCCGCCGCCTCCCGTCCGGAAGAGCGCCGGGGCCGGGGCCGGGCCGGAGCCGCTGCCACGTCAGGGCTGGGCGGCCCGCGGGCGGAGCGGGGCCGGGAGCGGGAGCGGGGCTGGGAGCGGTGCGGGGTGCTGCGGGGTGCTGTGGGGTGCTGCGGGGCGCTGCGGGGCCGGGAGCGGTGCGCAGCGGGCAGGATGCGGGGCTGGGCGCTGGCCCTGCTGCTGGGCGCGCTGCGGGCGGGCGGCACCGAGCTCACCTTCGAGCTGCCCGACAGCGACAAGCACTGCTTCCACCAGGACATGGAGCGGGGCATCAAGTTCACGCTGGACTACCAGGTACTGCCCCGGCACCCTGCCCCGGGACCCTGCCCCTACCCTGCCCCTACCCGTCTCCCCCCGTCCCTGCCCATGCCCCTGCCCGCATCCCTCCGAGCCCCAGCCAGGGCTGCCCCCGCACCTCTCCCGTGCAGCCCCTGCTCCCCCTGCACCACTCTGAGAGCTATTCCCTGCCCTGAGCCCTGCCCAGCACTGCCCACCCCACAGCTGCTTGGCATGGGATGGACCCGTGGGGGCTGCAGCAGCCCCCAGAGCAGTGGCAGGGGCTGTCCCCCTGCCCAGGAGCCCCACCTGAGCCCTGGGCACCGTGGGGCAGAACCTCCCTGGGCCTGGGCCCCCACCTGCAGTGGGCAGCCGTGGGCATGGTGCCTGTGCTGCTGAGGGCATGGCCATGCTATGGGCACGTGGCAGGACAGCGCTGCTCCGTGTGGGGCGCAGGGATCCTCCGGAGGTTCGGCAGGTGCCACCAGCATCTCCTTGCGCAGGTGATCACCGGAGGGCACTACGATGTGGACTGCTACGTGGAGGACCCCAACGGCAGGACGATCTACAGGGAGACCAAGAAGCAGTATGACAGTTTCCCACACCACACCGAAGTCAAGGGCATCTACACCTTCTGCTTCAGCAACGAGTTCTCCACCTTCTCCCACAAAACCGTCTACTTCAACCTGCAGGTGGGCGACGAGCCGCCCATCCTGCCCGACATGAGCAGCCGCGTCACCGCCTTGACACAGGTGCGTTGCGCGACGTGGCTGCTTCTGGCGGCAGGAGGACGGTGCTGCTGCAGCTCCTGCTGGTGGCTAAACGGCACAGCCCCGCAGGACCGGGCTCGCCCCCTTCCCCTCCGCCAAATGCAGAAGTGCCAACTGCCAGCCAACCGCCCCTGCGGTGTGCCAGCCACATCCCCCTCCTGCTGGCACGAGCACAGCTGCTGTGCCGGCTGAGCAGGGCTCTCTGTTGTGCCCTGCAGCTCCAGGCAGGCTCCGGGGCAGGGGCTGGCAGAGACCTGGCTGTGCAGGGAACCACTGCCTGTCCCCGCTGCCCGAGCACGGTCCTTGGGCTGGGCTGTGTGGGGCCTCGCAAGCAACAGCGTGTGCTTGTCCCCCCAGATGGAGTCTGCCTGCGTCACCATCCACGAGGCTCTGAACGCGGTGATAGACTCCCAGACCCACTACCGGCTGCGGGAAGCGCAGGACCGGAGCAGAGCCGAAGACCTCAACGGCCGGGTCTCCTACTGGTCGGTGGGGGAAACCCTCATCCTCTTTGTGGTCAGCATTGGGCAAGTGATGCTGCTCAAAAGTTTCTTCACCGAGAAGAGACCTGGCGGCGGCGGAGCTGGCACCTAATGCCGAAGCTGTGCCCATGCCCAAACTGCAGGACGGGGGGGCAGGAGGGAGCGGGCAGACAGCGTTCCCCTGGGTCACGCTTGACCGCTGCTTTTCACAGGGTGCTGCCGTGGGGACGTGGCTGGGGACGGAGCAGAGGTTGGTGATGTGACTGCTGAGCCGGATGGAGAACGGCCACCCGAGCACCAGCCCCCCCACGTGAACCCCACCAGCAGCACCTCCCGCTTTGCTGCCGCCCCCCCTGCCCGCTGCCCCTCCGTGCCCTGCCCCGCTCCCCGGCTCTCCCAGGGCTTTGAGGCTCTCCAGGGCTCCCGTGTCCATGCCAGGTGTGACCGCTGGGTGCAGGCACAAGGCCACGGGCACCCAGCAGAGCACAGGGCAGGGAGCTGTGCCCCCAGCAGAGCCCCCAGCACCCCTCTCCTGGTGTTCCCGCAGCCCCCCGTGCTGCCCAGGGGCTGCAGCATCCATGCGATGCGGGCGGAGCGGCTGCGTGCGCACAGCTCCCCTCTGTGTCCGCAGCGGGCAGCTTTCCCCTGGAGCACGCTGCAGCACCGCCCGAGGCTGGGAGCAGGGTCCCAGCAGACCCTGGCTGGCTCAAAAATGGAGGTGAGGTCTCAGCAGGGTTTTTTTGCTCGGTTATTTCATTTGCTTTCACGGTTCTCATGGCACAGCATTTCCCAGGCCCTTTTCTGCCACATGCACGGGCAGTGTATGCCACAGAAAACATTTGCATCCTTACACGAGTCCATGTTGGGGACTTGTGCTGAGACCCACACCTCCTCCCCTTCCCAGCCACCTTGCAGAGGCTGTCGGGGGGCAAGTTGGGTGGGTTCATTGCATTGTGAGGCAGCAGGGGTGGGCACAGCTCTGCTTTGTCCCAGCCAAGGAAGCCCCCAGCAGCCCCGCTCCCTGCAGCCCCCAGCAGCAGGTGGGGCTGGCTGCAGCACCCAGCCGTCCCCAGCCCCTCCAGCAGCTCCTGCCGGACCCACGGGAGATCAGCACCACTGTCGTTCCCCTTTGCCACTTCATAATAAACCATGCGACTGTGCTTCCTGCTGCTGTTTCTGGGCACTGCTCCCACGTCCTGGCACTCACAGGCCACCGTCCCTGCCTGCACAGGCTGGCCCAGCAACAGCTCCAGGACCTGGTGGATGCGTTCCCAGCACAGGTCCGGGTGTCAGACCGGGGGGGACCTGCCAGCCCTGTGCCGGGATCTGCCAGCAGCCCCCACCCTCACAGAGGCCCCAGGCACAGCTCACACTGGGGCTGTAGCTGCAGCCCCTACCCCACGGGAGCGAGGCAGCACAGCCACATCTCCAGGCATCCCTGGCCCCGGCGGCCTGCGCTGGCCTTGGAGCTGAGCCGCAGAGCCGGGAGCTGCTGGGCTCCCGTGCCTCGCAACGCCCTTGGGCAGGAGCCCAGCTCCCGTTCCCGGCAGCGGGCACAAGGCTGGGGCTCTGCCTGGGGCGAGCAGCTCCCAGCAGCTGCAGGGGGAGCAGCACCAGCCCCGTCCCACCCGCGGACATCCCTGAAGCTGCCCCCTGTCAGCAGGGGGTGTCCCCAGGGGCTCTGCTGTGGGGACAGGAGCAGCTCCAGGCCGGGTGCCCTTGGGGACAGCAGCGGGGGTCCCTGCACAGCCCAGCCCCAGCCCCATGACCCAGGCAGCCCCAGCACAGCCCGAGCTGGGGATGGAGGCAGGCAGCGCACGAGTTGGCCACGGGGAGCTTTATTGCTGCGTCCTGCCCCAGCACAAGGCTTAACGGGCACAGGGAGGGCGAAGGAGACCTGGGCTGCACTCAGTGCCCAGCCTGGCCACAGGACCAGCTCTGCCCCACCACTTGCAGAGGTGTTTTGGGGCACAGGAGCAGAGCTGCAGAGCCCCCATCACTTGTGCTCGCTGTTGTGCCATCGCGGGTCCCCTCGTCCGGAGCCCCCTGGGGCTCTGCGCAGCACCAGGACAGCCCCGGCTCACAGGGCACTGCTCTGGCAGGAGCCAGCCCCAGCGGGCAGCCCCGGCCCGGCAGGCACCTGCTGCCCCTGCACACCCCCAGCTCCCCGCCGGGCCCGCAGGGACGAGGCCGAGCAGCGGAATGAGCCCGTGGCCGGGGAGGGTGGCTCGGGCTCAGGGCTGTGCCCGCAGGGGCAGCCACAGCCCCTCCGGAAGGGGATGGTGAAGAGCCCGTAGGTGATGGGGTCCAGGCAGGCGTTGAAGAGGCCGAAGATGAAGAGGATGTGGGTAAGGGACGGCGAGACCCTCTTCTGCATGGCCCGTGGGCAGAACCAGTACCACAACCCCAGCAGGTAGTAGGGGGTCCAGCAGAGGATGAAGGACGAGACGATGACCAGGCTCATCTTCAGCATGCGCAGCCGTGCCCGCGGGATGTTGTTCCCTGAGCACCGCAACGGCACGTCCCTGGAGGGGACTGAAACGCAGCAGGGGGCACTGAGCGGGGGGCTCAGACACCTGGCCAGGGCCAGGGACCTGCACACCGAGCAGGGCCTGGGGGGGCCCACACAGCCCTGGCCTTGGCTTCACCTCCGGGATGCCGCTGGCATCTCCCCCAGCCAGGTCCCGCCGGCCCCCACTCACAGAGGCCGGAGCCCATGCGCCGGGAGATCTCCAGGAGGATGCGGGCGTAGCAGCAGACCATGATGAGCAGCGGCAGCAGGAAGAGGCAGGTGAAGCTGAGCATGTTGTAGAGGGTCTCGTGCCAGCGCTGGGGGAAGCTGCCCCGCGTGGTGCACTGGGTGAAGTTGTGCGGGGGCTGGAGGGTGACGGTGCGGAAGAGGAAGAGCTGGAGGCAGAGCAGAGAGGGTTTGGTGCCACCCCCAGGGGCTGCAGTGGGCACAGACACCCTGCACCTCCCCAAGGCAGTGTGCAGCGATTCTGCCCCGGGGCTGCAGAGCATCAGAGCGGCGGGGTCAGACCCTGCTGTGCCCAAACCCCTCCGGCCCTTCCCAGCTGCCGTGCCAGGGGCTCACGGCATCGCCACCCTGGCCCCTTCCCCAGGACCCCCCAGGGAACCCCAGGAGCAGAGCAGGGGGTGCGCGGGGCCGGAGCAGGGCTCCGTGGCGGGCACCTGCGGCAGGGAGAGCGCGGCGCTGAGCAGCCAGGCGGCACGCAGCATGGCGCGGTTCCTCCTGCGCGCAGCGGGCGATGGCCAGGGGGTGCAGGATGGCCGCCTGCCGGTCCAGGCTGATGACGACGGTGACGAAGGCGGAGGCGTACATGGCCAGCAGCCGCAGGTACATGAGGAGGCGGCAGGCCAGGTCGCCCGCCCGCCACTGCAGCGTGATGTTCCAGACGGCGTCCAGCGGCATCACCGCCACCGTCACCAGCAGGTCGGCCGCGGCCAGGTGCCGCAGCAGCAGGCGGATGTGGGAGCGCCGCGCGCTCCCCCGGCCCCCCGCCGCCCGCAGCACCGCCAGGTTGCAGCCGGCGGAGAGGGCGAAGAGGGCGAAGGTGACGGCCACGCGGGCCTGGGCAGCCGGCGAGAAGGTGGGCAGCCGCAGGGGCTCCTCGCCGCCCTCGGGGCGGGGGCTCCAGGCGCAGCCCTGCTCCGGGGGGGTCGGGCTGCCGGGGGGCTCCGCACTGCTGTTCCCCGCCACGGGGCCTGCGTCTGGCCGGTGCCCTCCTGCCACAACAGGCAGACAGGCAGCGGGGAGTGGGGTGGGGGCTCCGGGAGGAGGCAGGGGGGCCCTGTCCCCTCCAGGACCCCCACCCCAGCTCCGTGCTCTCCTGCCTTCAGCTGCTCCCTGCAGCCAGGGGCTCTGAGAAGCTTCCAGAGACCCCCCCCACAGCCTGTAGAGATCTGGGACCCCTGCCATCAGCCGGCAGGGCAGGGACAGACACTCTCAGCTGGCCCCAGCCCCCTGCCCTACCCCAAGGCACTCCTGCCACCCCATGCCCCCCACCCCGCAGCATCCCTCACAGTCCTGCCCAGCAGGCAGAGACCTCCCGGCACAGGCAGCCCAGCGCAGGACCCCCTGGTGCAGCTCCCCGCTCCCCACACCCCTCACCTGCAGCCGCAGCGCCCGGCCCCTGCCCGGCCATCTCGGGGCTGCTGCTCACACGCCGCCGGCTCCCTGCTCCAGGGGGTCCCGCATGGGCACTCGGCTCAGCCGCAGCCGGCTGGGAGAAGGGCTCAGGGCAGGCACCGCGGTGCTCACAGCCCACAGCCCGCAGCCACCTCTGCTCCTGCCCCACGCAGCCGCTCGGCGGGACGCCCTTGGCAGCTCGGGTTGCTCCTTGACGTAGCCAGCTCAGGTGGAACGTCTGGGTCCTTCACCAGCCACCCACACAGGCACAGGCGTGCACAGCTCTCGTGCACACACACAGGGGCTCAGATGCACACCCACGGAGATGCACGCGCACAGACACAGCTGGCTGTCCCCATGGCTGAGCATGTCCCCAATGCCACAGCGTGTCCCCTTGGCCACAAAGCCCCCCCGGGCGCTGCAGCCTGGGGGAGGGGAACGTGGCCGTTTTGCATCTCAAAGGCTTCGTGCCCCCCGGCGGAGGGAATTAGGGTTATTAGCAAGTCATTTCACAGCTAAGTGGGGCTCATTATCCCTGCAGACCCCCTGCCCCAGAGACCCCGGAGCGCGTTAGCATCTGCCTGCCAGTCCCGGGCAGGGCCCCAGCGCCAGCTCCAGACACCCCTGAGCCAGGGCTGGGAGGGGGCCGAGCCCCCTGCTACCCCCCTGCACCCTCCTGCACCCACCCATGGCCGTGGGGTCCCCCCACCCGCAGGGTGCCCTGCCCGCCGGCGTGCAGCCCCCACCCTGTGGCACCCCAGCACCCCGTGTTACCCTGCGGTGTGGGGGCCCCACGAGCCCCCTGTTCGGGGGGTGAGCGATGCTCAGCCCTCACGGAGCCCCAGGACGGAGCCGTGGTGCCGCCAGGCAGTGCAGCAGGAGGTGTCTCTCCTGATACCTCCCAGCAATTGCTTTCCCAGATGCTGCAGCAGCTGTGTCGTGGTCCCTGGCCCCATGGTGATGCTCGGAGCTCCTGCCCATGCCCCGAGGCTTGCCCCAGCGTGGAGCAGCGATTTCACCACCTCAGCCCTTCTCCCCTGGCCCCAGGCTCAGCACTTTGTCCCGGGCAGTCGCAGCCATCCCATGCCCAGCAGCTGCTGCAGGAACGGCCTCGTGGCGACACACAGGGTGGGCAAAAGGGTTTATTTATGTACAGTCACAGCCAGCCTGGCACAGCCAGCATGGATCCGGGCTCACGAGGCGCCTCGTCCCCCCCACCTCCCAGCTGTCCAAGGGGGGACACGCGTCCCCTGAGCCCCCCAGGTCACAGGCGTCCAGGTGCTGCGTGGCTCCTGCTCCGAGGAGCTGGGGTTTGCCCCGGTCAGTCCTGGGGCTGCGGCGGCAGCAGAGCCTCCAGGAGAGAGAGGAGATCTGCGGAGAGGTCCTGCGGGGAGAGAGAGTGGGTGAGATGGGGACCAGCAGGGCAGGGCTGGGATGTCGGGGCAGTGGGGACAGGGGCTGGCAGAGCCCAGCCGCCAGGAGGGCACCGCTCAGGGACCTGCAGGAGCCTGGCCCCAGGTCTGTGCCTGCTGGTGGGACTCCAAAAGACACGGGGAGGGTGGCACTGGGGAGGACAGGACCAGGGGAAAGCACCGAGCGCCCCACATGCACCCGCTGTAAGGGAAAGGGGACGCGGGCTCCGTTCCCAATCCCTGACCATGCTGCTGCGACCCCAACCCCAGCCCCACACTGCCTCAGGGGTGCTCCAAGCCCACCGGAGAGGCTGTGCCCTGTCCCGTGCCAGCCCCCTGCCAGGGCCCATCCGTGCTTACCCCAGCCCCGTGGCCGTGCACATTACCTGGGTGGCTGTCCCTGCATCCGCAGCCTCCGGCAGCATCAGCCCTGCGTCCAGGATGGGGTCGCTGGGGGGGTCCGGCGGGGTCCCTGCCCCTGCGCAGTGAGGGAGGGGCAGCCAGGAGGAGACGAGAGCCCCGTGCAGCTCCGGAGGGGTCCCCACAGGGGGGCTGTAGGGTGGTGACGGCCAGGCCCCCGTCCCCATGTCAGGAACCCCGTGCAGCGCCGGGGGGGTCTCCAAGGCTGGGCCATAGGAGGGTGACCCCCAGACCCCCGTCCCCATGTCAGGAGTCTCCTGCAGCGCCACGGGGGGCTCCATCACGGGGGGTGACCCCCACATCCCCCATGCCGGGGGGCGAAGCGTCCCGCGGGGCCGGTGCCGGTGCGGGGGGGCTGGCAGCAGCCCAGGCCCTGGGGGCAGAGGGGGCAGTGCCGGGGGGCCGCCCCCCGCCGCCGGGCCAGCGCCTCCTCGCTGAGCCCCAGCAGGGCCGAGAGGTGGGCGATGTAGCGGATGGCGAGGCGCAGGGTCTCGATCTTGGTGAGGCTCTGCCCGGCGGGCGCCAGCGCGGGCGGCAGGTAGTGCCGCAGCCGGTGCAGCGCCTGCGCCAGCCGCCTCATCCGCAGCTTCTCCCGCTCGCTGGCGCTCTGGCGAGGGCCCCCGGGACCCCCAGGCACCCTTCCTGCCCACGGGGCCGCCCCGCGGGCGGGGGGCAGCGGAGCCAGCGGCGAGGCCCCCGGGCAGCAGGCGGGAGGCGAGAGGCCGCAGGAGTCGGGCGAGGGTGCGGGCGAGCTGCTGCTGTAGCCCTCGGGCTCTGGGGCTGCGGAGAGGCCCCAGCGCTGCAGTGAGGCCGTGGTGGGCAGCAGGAGGCCAGGGGCTGCCGGGCGAGCCATGGCTGCGGGGCCGAGTGCCGGCAGCCCCCGGTGCCTGGGCTTTATGCCGAGCCGGAGGTGTGAAGTGGCACCTCCATGGCCGGCGTCGGCAGCACTTCAAAGGCCGGGGGGGGGCCAGGCGCAGCCAGCCTTTGAACACACGGGTGACGAATTTTACCCCAGCGGTGTGAGGCTGCTCTGTGCCGCCCACCCCCCCCCGACATCCCTCACCCGGCATCAGCACCGGCACCGGCACCGGCTGGAGGAGTCCTTGTGAGCTTGGGACCCGCATGGACCCTGCAGCAGGGCCAGCAGCAGCAGGGTGTGCGCTGTGGGGTCTGCAGGGGGGTCCGCAGGGGGTGCAGGTGCAGTCACACCAGGGCCAGCCCATCCCCATGTCCCCAGCACGTCCCCGAGCAGCACGGTGCCCAGCACAGCACCCCAGGCACCGTCCCACCTGCACCCCCATTCCCCTGTGAGCGGCCAGGCTGGGGGCCAGGCCCCGCTCCCCCCCCAGTGCCAGGCACGGCAGCAGGCTTTGGCCAGGTCCCCGCAGCCCTGGCTGATGGCATTTCACATGCTCACACTAATGAGCCCTGACGCCTGCAGAGCCGCTCAGCTCCTGCCAGGGGCTGGTGCCCGGCAGTCCCCGGTGCTGTGACTGACAGCGTGGGGGCTCTGTGCCGCCCCCCGCACCCCTCCCTGCTCCCCCAGACCCTGCAGCAGCTCTGAGCCCTCAGTCCCAGCCCCCAGTCCTCCAGGTGCTGCTCCCCCACCCGCCAGGAGCAGCACCCAGGGGTGGTGGCAGCGAGCACGGCCCCGCGGGTCCCTGGCCCTTCCCGGCACATGCAGCCCCGTCCCGGCCACTGGCGGGGGCTCCGGGGGCTGGGAGGGGGCCCCCCGCCGCGTTCCCAGGCCCTGTGCAGGGGTCGCTCCCTGCGGGTGTAAAGGTTTCCAGGGAAACCCAGCACTGCTGCAGGGAAGGAAAACAGATCAGGGAGAGAGCCCGGGGCAGACAGGGGGGAGAGCTGCGTCCCAGAGAGGGCTGCAAGCCCCCCGCCACACTGCCCCCGAAGCTCAGGCTGCACAGCCTGGCCGGGCACTGGGGTGAGCAGCACGGGGTGCAGCCGTGTGCATGGCCCCGGACACGGGGGGTGCAGAGCCCCCAGACACCGGGGTTCAAGGCCCTCTGCCCCCATGCAGGGGGCACAGTGCTGGGCACGGGGCTGACCCTCCCCAGGCGATGGGGCTGGGTGAGGCAGCGCTGTCACCAGCAGGCTCCTGGTTCCCGATGGTCACATGAAAGTCATGGGATTTTCCCTGGAAAAGCAGTGGCGTGGAGGCGATGACATAGATGTAAGTCCTGCTTAGTGGTCACCGCTGCTCCCTGCGTTTCCCCACTCCTCACCACACTGACCCGGGGCCAGACCCCAGGCAGCTGCAGGGTCTGGGCAGGGACATCTCCATCCCATAAAAGCCATGCCTGTGCGGGTCCCACCATGCCCAGGCTCTCAGGTGGTGCCAGCACTGCCAGGACAGGCGCTCCCCCCCCCTCCATCCCCGCTGCACCAAGCCCGCCTCGTGCCCAGCCCCGGTGCCACTCGGAGCACCCCTGGGGCACCCCCAGCAACCCAGCCCAGGGGCACCTCGCTGCAGGGCACCCCGGCACCTGCTGCACCCCTGAGCCCCCTCCAGGTGACCGCCTCCCATCGCCCGCCCCACCCCTAGCTTGGCACCGCCGGCAGTAAAAGCGCAGTTATCTCCTTGCAGACGCTGCAGGAATAGAAGGTGAATGTGGAGGAGTTAATGTCATTGACCCCTCTGCCCTCGCTGGAGGAAATGCCCTTTTGCTGCCCCGTCCAAGGTCCGAGCGTGCCAGGGCACAGCTGACACGGACTCACAGCCACCTCTCCATGCTCAGAGCCCGGCCGCAGGGCTGGAGCTGGGGCAGGTCTGGGGCATTTTGGGGAGTGGGGGGCTCCTGGCCCAAGGAGCGCAGAGGGGCGCACAGTGGAGGGCTCTGCACCCATAGGCACAGCCGGGGGCACGGCCCCTTCCCTGCACGTCCCCCTGATGGCTCTCCCCCCGCTCCCTGCTCCCCTCCCATTCCCAGACCCCCTCCTGTTTCTCATTAGCTGATGAGCTCCTGGGTAATGAGTTCTGCGGCCCCGCTGGGCAGTCACTTCCCACTTCCCTCCGTGTTTAGACAAGTGCTGAAGCGCGGCTGTGCCACGGCAGCGCTGGGCGTGGGGTCAGAGCCCCCCCGTGGGGCAGTGCCCACGACCCCTCCCTGGGGGAGCTGGGGTCCCCCCCCGGTGCAGCGCTGCGGGGCAGCCGTGGTGAGGGCACAGGGATGGAGCTCGGCCAGGGCTGGGGGCCAGGGGCCAGGAGCCTCGACCAGGAAGGGGGCACACGGGGCTGCCAGACACACCCACCTGGCTGGGCACCCGCCTGGCTGGGCACCCCTGCGTCCTCCTGCCCCTCGCAGCAGTCATTGGGGGTGGAAGCGCCCCCAGGACACACAGAGCTCAGAGCTGGGAGCTGTGCAGAGGGGCAGGGGCTGTGGGGGGATGCTGGGGGTGTCCTGCGGGAGAAGTTCAAGTCCCCGCTGCCCCTCGCAGCACAGCACCGGACGGTGCGGGCGCTGGCAGGGCTGCTCGGCACGTTAGCATCTCTCACGACCGTGTGAATTGGTCCCTGCACACTTCCCAGCACCGGGCAGTGCCAATTAAGGGCCAGAGGAGTCAGAACTGACACCTCCACAAATGGGTCTGGCTTTCCCAGGCTCCCGGTCCGGCCCCAGCCTGCACTCTGTAGGTTTTGACACCTCCGGGTGGCCACCAAGGTGTCACTTCGCACCCCGGACCCACATAAAGCCGGGGCTGCTGGGGTGCCCCCAGACGCGGGCGGCAGAGAGGACCCCAGCCATGGCCGGGTCCCCAGCCCCACTCCTGCCCCAGGGCCTGCAGCCCCCGGCGGGACGAGCCCTGCTCCGGCACCACCTCGGCAACCTCGCCACCACCTCCCCAGCCCTGCCTGCGGAGCCCCCCAGCGCCTCCCTGTGCCCCCTGCGGGGCCAGAGACCGTGCGGCGGGGCCGAGCTGGGGCGGTCGGGGAGCCGCGTGGGCAGGAAAGGTGCCGGGGGTCCCGGGGGCCCTCGCCAGAGCGCCAGCGAGCGGGAGAAGCTGCGGATGAGGCGGCTGGCGCAGGCGCTGCACCGGCTGCGGCACTACCTGCCGCCCTGCGCTGGCGCCCGCCGGGCAGAGCCTCACCAAGATCGAGACCCTGCGCCTCGCCATCCGCTACATCGCCCACCTCTCGGCCCTGCTGGGGCTCAGCGAGGAGGCGCTGGCCCGGCGGCGGGGGGCGGCCCCCCGGCACTGCCCCCTCTGCCCCCAGGGCCTGGGCTGCTGCCAGCCCCCCCAGCACCGGCACCGGCCCCGCGGGACGCTTCGCCCCCCGGCATTGGGGGTGTGGGGGTCACCCCCCGTGATGGAGCCCCCCCTGGCGCTGCAGGAGGCTCCCGACATGGGGACGGGGGCCTGGGGGTCACCCTCCTATGGCCCGGCCTTGGAGACCCCCCCAGCACTGCACGGGACCCCTGGCTCAGCCTCGGGGTCCTGGTCCTCACCGCTGTGCAGCCTCGGAGCAGTGACCCCGCTGGAGCCACCCTGGAGCTGTGCAGCAGCCACAGGCCCCGGGACAGTTCCCTCCTGCTGCTTGGAACCCTCGGCCCCTGCCCAGCCTCCCGGGGCAGGAGCAACGGCCACGGGGGTCCCTGGCCCCCCCACGCATGGCTCCCAGGTACGCACAACTCCCTCCCCACTCTGCTCCTGCACCACGCCACACGGGGACAGCAGGCTGGCAGCACAGCCCTGGGTGGGGTGGGGTGGGGTGGGATGGGATGGGATGGGATGGGATGGGGATGGGGATGGGGATGGGATGGGGATGGGATGGGACGGGACGGGACGGGACGGGACGGGACGGGACGGAATGGGATGGGATGGGATGGGATGGGATGGGATGGGATGGGGATGGGGACGGGACAGGACAGGGGGATGCTCCTGCAGAGTGCAGGCAGAAGTGCACCAGCAATGATGTGTGCCATGACTGGGGAGGCTGCATGGGGTGACTGAATTGGGGGGCTGGGGGGCAGAAAGAAGTGGAGCCCACTGGAGAGGCAGCCTGGGACGCGTGGCACAGGGCATGGGGCACAGTGGTGTCGCACGCAGCTCCCCTGACAGCTCTTTCTGCACAGCTCGGCAGCCCAGCCCCGGACTTGCTCCTCTCCTCCAACACTCCTGGAGCCCCCATCCTGACCAGCTGCGCCCCAGCACGGTGCTGGGGGTGGTGGAGCTGATCCTGTGCCCACGGCCGGCAAGGAAGCACGGGGGGGGGGGAATGGTGCAGCGGTGCCACGGAGCGCCGTGGGGTGCTGGGGAAGGGCTCCTCATTAAAGCTGCTGAGCACCATGCTGCCCCGTCTCATTACTGTGTGGATCCCCCGTGCTGCACCCCAGCACGGGAAGGAGCTTGGGGCACCCCAGGGGGGCTGTGGAGGGACAAAGCTCAGCCATCGCCTCCCCACGCCCAGTCACACCCAGTCCCAGCCCACCCCAAACACCCCCTGAGCTGGGGTGATGGAGGGGACCCCCACCCCGGGCTTCCCCAGCCCCGCTGCCCCCCTGCCCACCACGTCCCATCCCTTCTCTGTGCCTAAGCCCCAGGGGAGGGTTTGGGGCTGAGGCTCGCAGGCTGCCGTGTCCGTGCTGCCCCCCCGGGAGCGCAGCAGGAGAGCTCACACGCAGCCGTCAGACGGAGGGGCCGGGCGCTGGCGTCACAGAGCCCCCAGAGCCACTTAGCACCGGGCTCCTAACGCCCAGGGCTCTGCCTCCCCGCTCCCTCGTGCTCTGCAGGGTCCCGGACATTTCCTGCCTGACCCCCGTCAGCCCCCTGGGCCAGCCCGTGCCCCCCACGCCCCGCTGCCACAGCCTGTGCCCAAGCTCCCATGCGTCCCTTTATTTACAAGAGCTAAGGCCTGGCACAAGCCCCGGCCCTCACCCATCCCTGCCCACCATTCAGGTGCCGGGCACTGCCGGGGGCAGCGGCCCCTTCCCATCACCGGCAGCAGAGGATGCGGCCGGGCCAGCCCCGGGGGCGCGGGCAGAAGCGCTTTGGGGTGGGTGTAGGAGGGGGCTGGAGTGGGCAAGTGTCCAGTGTGGCCACCGAGAGCAGCGGGTGCCCGAGCGCCGTGCCGAGCCCCACGCCTGCCCCGTGCAGGAAGGTGTGCGGGGCCAGGCGCGGTTATTGGGAGTGTTCCGTGAACCAGGCCAGCACAGACGCCTTGTTCTCATTCACCCAGTTGATGTTGGACCTCGTCTTCTCCAGCGCCTGCTCCAGGGCGCGAGTACCCGACCCGAAGCCGATGTCCTGGTTGTCTGCCTTGAACTGCTCCAGCTGCGGGGGGACAGAGGGGCTGGAACTGGTGCAGGGACCCCCATGGCGAGCATCCTCCCCCCCGATGGGGCTGGGAAGCTCAGGGCAGCGGCTGCTCGGACCCCCGGCCACACAAGGGGCAGAGGCGGCCGCCCCCTCCCCAGGGCTGCAAGGTGCGGCAGGACGGAGATGGACCCGGCCGTGGGGAGCCTGGGGGGCAGCCACCCAAACACACAGACCCTGCCGGGGCACAGCCTCACCTGCTGCAGCTCAAACTCTGTGGAGAACCGCTGGGTCACGGATAGGATCAGCCTGGAGAAGGAGAAGGAGCCACCCCCGTACCTGGGAGAGCAGAGAGGGGAGCTCAGCCGGGGGCTGCGGGCTGCACAAGCAGGGGGAAGGGACGGAGCCCCCAGCTCGGGAGCACAGCCAGCCCACCGATGCCCCCAGCCCCTCTGCCCTCCCCCAGCCCCCATGTGGTGCTCACTGGCTAAAAAGAAGCTTCCAGTTGCTGCGGATGAAGTCCCAGGCCAGGGACTGCCCCACCACGTTGCTGGCGATGCTGTTGATGGTGGAGGTGGCATCCTGCTTGCGGATCTTGGTGGGGTCGATGGTGTACTCCAGGTACCTGGGGGGGGGGAGCCACCGGGTGAGGGGCTGTGCGAGCAGAGCCCTGGCCCTCACCCCGGCCCCTGCACCCACCGCTGGAGGATCCAGGGCTCAGTGCTGCAGGCGAGAGCCGCGCGGATCCTGTCGGCCTCGGACACGACGGGGGCCTCCAGGAACTTTTCCCACAAGAAGTTCCAGGCCTCCAGACCGCCCGTGGCCACCGCGCTGCAGTAGATGGCAGAGCGCAGGTTCGGGTGGATGCTGCAGGGGAAAGAGGCGTCTCAGACAGGGAGCCCTCGCCGTGCCCAGCCCGGCCGTGGGGGCACCCCAGGGACTCACGTGTTGTTGTCGGTGTTCTGCCAGTGTTGGAAGAGACTGGTGGCCAGCTCCTGGCACTCAGGTATGCCGTAGGAGCAGGCTGTGCTGATGGCATTGACCTCATTGTACCTGGAAGGAGAGGAGCCCATGGGGCTGGGGCTGGGCACGTGGAAGCCAGACACCAGCCAGCCAGTGCCAGGCCACGGGCAGGACCCTGCGCCTCCTCCCCGCACACGTGGGGGTGAGCACCCGCTGCGCCTGGGGAGATGCCAGGGGTCTGGCGAGGCAGCGGAGCCGTGCGACACTCACTGGTCCATCAGGCCTGGGGGAACGTCGGTCCAGTTCCCGGTGACATTCTTGTAGTGTTCGAAGAGGGGCTTCACCTGCTTCTGGATGTAACTCTGCAGGGCAGGCGGGCGGTCAGTGCGGGGCAGCACCGGCAGCACCTCGCACCCCAGCCCCGGGCGCAGACCCAGCCCTCAGTCCCCATCCTGCAGCGTGGGGTCTGCGGGGCCCGAACCCCCCGGCAGGCGGCACAGCTCACCCTCATCACCCCGAACACCTCGCTGCGGTCAAACATCAGCTGGAAGTACTGCAGGTTGTTGAGCGCCGCCTGCCAGGGCATGTACTCTGTCTCCTGGCTCAGGAACTGCGTGGTGTTCAAGGCCAGCGTCACGTCGACGTACTTGGCCCTGCAGCAGGGACAGGGCAGTGTGAAGACCCCCAGCCCCGCGCCGCCTGGCTCCGCTGCCCGTGCCTCTCATCCCTGCCCTGCCGCGCTGCTCACCTGGCCAGGTTAAAGGCATCGTCGATGATCTGCGCCCGGTTGATCACAGGGATGACCTGGGGGAGAACAGAGCCAGTGTCACTGGGTAGCCCTGGCACGGGGTGCGGGGAGCGGGTGCCCACCCCCAGTGCCGCGTACCAGGTGGTCCTCGGAGAGCTGCCAGAGGAGCTGGTCCCAGTTCTCCTGGTTGTAGTTGACGCGGAAATAGCCACTGACGTTGAGGTTCAGCAGGAGCCAGTCAGAGCTGTCCACCTTGAAGGTGGAGTTGGTGTCTGAAAGGGGAGAGGAGGGAGGTCTGCTCTCCGCTGTGACCTGGGGAGGCCCCGAAACCCAGCAGGGCAGGGGAGGTGGCAGCAAGATCCCCACCACCAGACCCCACCAGCGCCGTACCTGAGACTTCTACCAGCCAGTACCTGCTGCCGCTTGTTCGGGATGTCATCCAGGTGATGGGCACAATCCAGGTGTAGCTGTGTCAGGGAACGGGAAGAGAGAGGGAAGTTTCTCACCCTCTGCACCCCCCGGTCTCCCTGTGCCCCCCGGCACTATTCTCGCAGCCACACTCACTTGAAATCGGAGGGTCTCTCCACCGTGGAGGTGGGGTCCAGAAGGAAGTGTTTCTGCTGGATTCTGCCAGTGGTCGTGTCGACGGTCACCACGGGGAAGCCCATCTGCAGAGTCCAGCGGTCCATGATGGTGCTGATATTGCCGGGCAACGAGACGTTTCTGTTGTCGACAGCCTGCAGGGAAAAGTTGGCTGTGGGTCCCTGGCGCCACGGGGGCTGGCTGCACACGGGGGCTGGTGGCATGGGGCTCAGCAGGTGCTGCTTCCCTCACCGAGCACCCAGCACCCCATCCTGCCCAGCCCCGGTGGGGAAGGGGCTGGGGGAGTTTGAGGCAGCAGCTGAGAGCAGCACACCTCCCTCATACCTTCTGCAAGTGCTCCCACAGGTCTGTGT